CCAAGCAGAAGTCAAGAATACAAGTTAGCAATTCATTTAGACAACTACAAAAAACTGGGCAGTGGTGGGGCAAGGAGCACATATATAGCAGTGAAGGGAAAAAAGAAAACTCTTGAGACCTCAATATCTGAAATAGAATAAAGAAGAAATCAGTAACTGAGATTCCCTAGTTAGACTTAAAAATGGGCTTTTGAGGGGAAGTGTTGAGATTCACAAGGTGAGGGCAGTAATGAAACACTTAGAGCCTCTCTCTAAACAGATCCCTGAAAAGAGCCCTGACTCTGTAAAAATCAAAAGGTATCTGAGAAAATGAACGTACAAGGGCAGGGTCCTACCGTATTGAAGCGGTAATAGATGAGATGCTTCAGGTCCTTGCACATGCGAATCTGCCGCATCAGCTTGTATTTATATCGGTACATGCCCGTCAGCTGCCCCACATGGGCAAAGATATACTGCAATCCATCTGCCAGCTGCAACACAATTGCCCTATTAGGCTTTAAGCTAGAGCCAGCTCCACAATCAGCACAGGCTTCACCCAGCATCCCCACCTGGGCAGGGACTGGGGATTCCTAGCCTCACCTGGAAGGCATCCACATTGCCCAATCGATACTGCACATGACTGTCCACCACCAGCTTAGTTAAACGCAGAACTTCCCGACACAGATGGAAAGCATTCCCAAAACGAGATTTCTTTCTTTCCTGGAGAAGATGCCAACAACAGAAACGTTAGTCAGCCAATGGTCCAGACTGATGTCTGCCTTCCTCAGGGGCCAGAGTCCATCCCTCAAGCCCAGAGGACCCTTGAGGTCCCTTGCAGATACCTTGGTGGTGAGCGTCTTGACAGGCTTCAGGTTGAAGTTGTAATCCAGGTGCAGGTAGTTGAGATTTTTGCGGTGAATGAGAAGGTTGAGCATGTTGTAGCCCTGGCGGCAAACCTGTAGCCCCACTTCCACCCAGTCAAGCTTTGTAGACTGAAAGAATTTAGTGGCTTTAAAGGAGCGGAACAGATACCTGGGGTGAGAAGAAGGAGTCAGAGTTAGCCTCCTGATTACCTTCAGAACAAAAGGAGGCTAAGCACGGGCCCTAGAGCACCTCACCGCTTCTTCTGGGCTTTAGGGGGCCGGTGCTTCAGGGCATTCAGCACATAGTACTTAAGCAGCTTCTGGTAGGAGACCCTCACTTTCACGGGCTGCCCAGCAGGACAATGCTCCCGATACCTGAAAAAACAAGCCCTCAGATCTCTCCTTCCAATCACTCTGATGAAGGCTGTACACCCACCTAGCTCAAGTTTTTCTGCCTGTACATCCACGACCATCCCCCCCAGGTAGCAGCCTTACCAGTTCTTGACAAGGGGGATGTCTAGGGCCCGGCGGGTGCGACCAGAGCGTAGGTTGAAGGGTCGTGGGGCCCAGAGCAGGGCGATGCCATTGGCTGTATTGTCTGTGTAGAGGGGTGTATCCTTTAAGAAGGGCTCCACAAACTCGGGGAGCTCAAACTCTTCATCATCATCTGGCAATGGTTCTTGGCTCTGAAAGAAGAAACCCCAAGGGTTTAGCTCCTGCTGAACTGGGCAGAGACCTGGGATGAGAGGGAAACTCTCTGGGGCCAAGCACAGTGGATACATCTGCCATGGAAACTGGGCTGCCTGACAAGAGAAGCCCTGAAGGACCAGGGCAAACGGGGCCAAGGGAGCAAAGATCAAGGCAGGACCAACCAAGAAAGCAAGCAAGCACTCCTCACACCCCAACTGGCTCACCACCCAAGGCCTCCCAGAGGAGCCCCAATACCAGAAAAGGTAAACACTGCAATCACCTCCTGCCAAGGTCCAAAAACTGGGCTTAGGGAAGATCTGTTCATGTTAAGAATATATTGGAACATAGATCAAGAGCAAAAACATTATTCTAAATGTAAGGAGCCAGTCACAAAAGGCCACGTACTGAACGATTCTATTTGTATGAAATGTCCAGAATAGGCAAATCTATAGAGACAGAACAGATTACTCGCTGCCTAGGTAAGGGAGGTTCAAGGGAAATAGAGAGTGACTACTGTATGGGTATGAGGCTGCTCTTTGAGGTAACGAAAAATGTTCTAAAATTACCTGTGGTGACAGTTGCACAACTGTGTAAAGAAACTAAAAACTAACAAAGTGTACACTTCAAATGGGTGAATTGTGTGGTAGTAAATTATAGGTCCAAAAAGGATTAAAGAAAAGAGAACACATTGGAAACAGACCAGAATAAGACTACATGGAGAGTAATGATAAAGCCCAGATGGATACCACACAAACCAAGATAATACCAATACCTTGGTCTGAGTCACATGCTGAACTCCCAAATTAGCTTTTGCTCAAAGGGAACATTTAAAGATGGAAAACATGTCTCCCTCTGGCTGAATTTTTATCTAGTAATGCTTCCATCCAGTCAGGAAATTTCTTTTGGAAAAGTTGAGGTCAATGTGCCTTCCCTGAATTCATCAAAGGGATTAAAATCGCCGTGTTTGGACAGCAGTACGCTGTTTTTTTTCCCTTTATTTTGTAAGCTTTCTGTAATATGGCCTATATTTATTTTACAATTAGAAACTAAAATTTTAAAATAAGGTGAAAAAAAAGTCTTTCCTCTCACCTTGACAGAGTGTCTATGGGAAATTGGGTTGATCAAAGGATCAAAGTAGAAAGCTGGCAAATCAGGATCCTCAGTTTTGATGAACACAACATTAGGAGTGTGGTACCTAAAATGAAAGAAGAGTCAGCCAAGGTTCTCCTGCCCTGGCCCAACCTAAATGACAGCCTTCTCCTATCCCACAGCTGTGTTCGAGTTTTCTCACCAAGTGAGGTGGACATGATGTGGAAGGTTGTTGTATAAGTAAGGAAAAGCAATCTTGTACTCAGTACGGATAGGCTGCCGGATGATGATCTTGTTAATATCATTGAATTCATTCCAGTCTTCATCCCTAGGATACAAAGTCAAAGATAAGCAGAATAGCTGGGGAGACTGGAAACTACAATGGGATCTTAAGGATCAAGATTAGATTTTACTTAACCCAAAGTGCCTAAAATTTCTATTCTCTCCAACTTACTGTAGGTTGATGTCTCGGACAAGAGGTTCAAATTTGGGGCCTCCAGGGATGGCCATATTGAGTGCCTTCGAGGTAAAAAAGGCCTTCAGATCAAACAGATAGAAGTAGTTGTCATCTACCAAGTCTGTTAGGAGCTGATTGGCCAAGCGGTAGAGAGTGGACATCATGGGCAGCGTGAACTGCCAGCGCTGGTAAGTGGAGCCATTCACGTATCTAGGAAAAAACAGAGACGCACATCAGGCAGGTATACCCGCTAGCCAAGCCATACTACCTGTTGCTCTCCCAGGACTCCTTCTGGAGTTCTAAAACTCTCACAGGAGTGGTTAACCCCAACCATCACTCACTTTCGGCTGTCTCTCAAAGGCTGGTGGTCATAGAACCAGTCCAACACAGGGGCATCCTCCTCAGGGTCCAGCTCTAGCTGAATGGCCTCCAGCGGCTCAACATCTAGGATGTTGTCAGCATAGTCCAAAGGCGGCTCCTCATCATCAAAAGGGGGAAAACGCATCCTCTTGAAATGCCGCCTGTCTCTTTTTTCTCGACGCATCATAATCCACATTGACCTGGAAGTCAACAATGTTGCATAATGGTTTCTACCCCACTGCCCCCCAACCACCACCACCACACACCATATCCCAGGTCTTCTCACCCCCACTGGGAGATGTAGACAGGCTCAATGACCCAGGGAATCTCATTGACAAAGGAAATGGCTCCAGTGATGTGGTACAACACAGGCACATCTCGAATCTGCTCCCAAGGCATAGGCATGTTTTCCAGGAGTTTGAGGACAGCATGGGGCATGTACTTCAGGGCACTGCAATAACAGGAAGACAGATGATTAGAAATGACAAGGTGTTCTACCTGTTCCAGGAAGAGAAGCCACAAGGTATCAGAGTACCACATTCCACAGAAAACTCTGCCTTATAGCCCAAACTCCCAAACTCAGTACACAGGCCCTTCATGATCAGGAACTCTGCCTCCCCACCTCCAATTGTGCTACTCTTCTTCTTAAACTTAACTCTCCCACAATACTAGGTTTCAGTCCCTTTAAATAGCTCTTCCCCTAAAGACAGCTTTTAGGCTATCTCACATTCTAGCCTCTCTGTATCTTTCCATAAGTAATTTATTTTATTTTTATTGTAGCCATTTGTCTCATATCTGTTATGTCACTAGACTGTGAGCACCAGAAAGGGCATTACTTTCTGCTCACTGCTATATCCCTGGCACTTAGCAGTTCTCAAAAATATTTATGAAATAAACAAAACTTCCATGGCTGTCTTAGACCAGCTTATTAAGTAGCTAACATTTTTGCATCAAAATGGAAAAGGAATCTGGTAGGGCACTTGTACCTGTACCTGTACTCAGTCAGCTGGGGGACACAGAAACACAACAGAACACAGACTGCAGGAGTTAACTACCCCTGAACTTGAAGATCACAAGAATGCACAAGATATCCTACTCTGGGCTTCAACCAGTTCAAAGACAGAGACATCTTATAGTATCAACAGGACAAATTAAAAGCTCCAGTCTTAGATCAGGAAGAAAAATCAAGGCAATAAAGAACATCACTAGAAGATTTGGAAATTATGACAGAATCCTAGTAGTTTTCTGTCTTCCTTGATAACCATCAAGATAAGCTGTCACAGAAGACTGAAGTTCCAAAATGGCATAGCAGCTATCCACACTGCAATTTATGGGGCAGGGAAATGGGAAAGGGGCCAAACTCCATTAATTCCAGGATGCTCCTTACCCCAGGTAGACCCTTTTGTCGTGGCGAAACTTCCTGTTGGTCATGTCTCCATGGTCTCGAATAATCTTCCTGACATGTTCTGGAGGCATGTCTTCCTTCTGAGCGTCCACAAACCCAAACTTCCGCTTTTCCGCATAACGCTTGGCCTGCAACTGCTGCCATTTTCGGGCTACAAGGACACCTCAGTTTAATGGACTGCACACTTTTAGCCTAATCACCCTCACCTCTTGCCCTAGGGTAAACTCCTGTCAGGATGTATGACAGAGGGCGGGCATCCAGTGGGAGCAGCCCCTAACAATTCTCCTGCCGAGTCGCTCTGCTTTATTTTTTTCTTCTTCCCATTTATCACTGCCTGGCATTTTTGTTACAACATTTTATAAAGTTTTCTTTTTTACTGTCTTCCTCATTGCAATTCAAACCCTGTAAGGGCAGAGGTTTTTGTCTGCACTGCTGTAGTATCCCCATTGTTTGGATTAGTGTCTGCAAATGACACACACTTTTATTTTTTATGTAGACGGTTTTAAAGACTTAATTAGATGAAAAAATAAATGAAAGCTACTAAGGGTACTAAGACCTAATGTTTTGACATTTGCCAAAACGGGAAAGTGTTCAAACCCGCTGCGCGCACGCGTACACCCGCCCCCAGGCGCCGCTCCCGCACGCTTTCTTCACCTTTCTCCTGCAGCTTCTCCTCCGACATGTAGTCTGGCAGCGGGGCTAAAGGGCCGGGCACCGGGTTACCCGGCCCTCGGTAAGGAAATACTCCGGCCATGCCCGGAGAATCTGAGGAGCGACGGAAGAAAAAAATTAACGACGAACAGGGCCAGGGCCTGGGCCCACAAGAGTCGCAGCAGGAACACGTCGAGACACCCGGCCTGCAGTCCCGCCTGGCTCAGAGTGCGCCCAGCCCCGCCCGATCCCTCCGGCCGCTCAATCCGGACCCCTGTGCCTCCCGCTACCTGTCCCTTAAAGCACGGCACGCACCCCCGAACCCCTCACACAGACGGCCGCTTTCTCTCAACGCAATGGCGGCAAGCCTACGTCCGCTCCGCGTTCCCAGAGCCAGGAAGTGCGCAACCCGGGTTCAACAGTTGACCCAATAGTTGCTGATGTGTTCGGACGGGTCAGAGAGATTACCAATCAGAGTTACAATTTGGGCTGGAGGGGGCGGGTCCACGGACGGAAGTATTTGTAAGCTAGAGGGTGTGGTCGGAGCAGGCGCAAGACCCGCCTCCCACGTTTCTGAAACGGTTTCTGTGGCCTCCAGCAGCTACTGGCGTTGGGCCGCTAAAAACCCACGCTTCTAAAGTTACAATAAATTTGTCAAAATTTACACGTTATTCTGTGTCTGGTGTCATAAATGTAGACTTGAGGTGCAGTACCAGCTCCGAGACATTCAGTCTTTTGTTCATGGCATTCATTCATTCTTTCAACCATCATTTATTGAGTGCCCACTGTTGTATCAGAGATTGGGAATACGCGGGGGCATTTACGCAGAAATCAACTTCCCGGAGCTCACAGGGTAGCCAGGAGATAAACAAGAAGGAAAGGCTCTCACAATGCGGTGTGATGGGATTTCGGGGGCAGGGAATTTAACTCTGTCTAAGAAATAAAGGAAGAGTTAGTCAATGAACCTATAAAAACAAAAGAGGCCTTGGAAAATGACACTGCCCAGTGTTTTTTCCCCCTGCCTCTCCATTCCTCTTTTCTCTCTCTGGCAATAATTACCCTACTGGGTGTATAATAGACACCATGTAAATGTTTCTCGACTCCCTCTGGCTGTGTTTCATCTTGCTTCCTGAATTGCACTCTATCTCCTGCCTTCCTTGTTTGATTTTTTTCATCCCTCTTGCTCCATTTTTTGGTAACAATTTTGAATCTGAGTTAACAGATAAGTTTGTTTGAACTCACACTAAGTTTATTGTGGAGAATGAGGAGGAATTGTAACCCATGTGGCCTCTCCATCTGGTTGGGAATTTAGGACTCAAAAGGGAATATGATTAAAAAAAAAAAAAAAAGCAAAGGAGAGTCCAGGCAAACGCTGGCTGATGTGGAGGTTCATATAGTTCAAAGAAGAGAGACGAGCATTTTTGAAGATATGATGGAGATGGGTGGATATGAAGGATTTGATGAGGTAAACAAAGAGGAAGGAAAAAGGAATCCCAGGTGATGGTAACTGCTAGAGTCAGAGTTTAGAAACAGGAACAAACATGGCATGTTCTGAAAACAACCAGCCAATCAACCTGGCTACAGGAGAAAGTCCAGCATCATCTTTATTAGGTTTATCATCCTCATTGTAGTGACGTTCTTACCACTTGTAAAAGGTTCACTATGTGCTGGGTATTATTCTAAACCCTGGTACAATTCTAATATTGTCTGCTTTCATTAATAGTATTGTGCCAATGTCAATTTCCTTGTTTTGATTGTCCTACTAGTGTTATGTAAGAAGTTCTCAAGTGGGTGAAGGGTGCACAGGGACTCTCTGTACTATTTTCTAAGCAGCATTATTGAGAAATGATTTGCATTCCATAAAGTTCACCTGTTTAAAGTATACAATCCAATGATTTTTAGTGTATTTACAGAGTTGTGCAATTATCATCACTATCTAGTTCCAGAACATTCTCATCATCCCAAAAAGAAACCTTGTGCCCATTAGCACTCACTCTCCATTTCCTCCCACCTCCTACTCCTCAGCCCTAGGTAACTACTATTCTATTTTGTGTCTCTATAGATTTGCCTGATCTGAATATTTCATATAAATGGTATCATATAATAGTGACTTTTGTCACTTTGGAACTGGCTTCTTTTACTTAGCATATTTTTGAGGTTCATCCTTGCTGTAGTACATATGTATTTCCTTTGGAGAATTGTCTTTTCAGATCCTTTGCCCATTTTAAAATTGGGTTTTCTTAACGAACTTAAATATAAAACAGAAACAGACTCACAGACATAGAATACAAACTTGTGGTTGCCAAGGGGAAAGGGGGTGGGAAGGGACAGACTGGGAGATTGAGATTTGTAGATACTGACAGGTATATATAGAATAGATAAACAAGTTTATACTGTATAGCACAGGAGAATATATACAGTATCTTGTGGTAGCTCATGGTGAAAAAATATGAAAATGAATATATATATGTTCATGTATGACTGAAAAACTTTGCTGTACATCAGAAATTGCCACAACATTGTAAATTGACTATAACTCAATAAAATTAAAAAATAAAATAAAATTGTGTTGTCTTTTGGGGGAGGGAGGTTATAGTTCAATGGTAGAGTGTGTGCTTAGCACGCACAACGTCCTGGGTTGAATCCCCAGTATCTCCATTAAAAAAATTTTTAAAGCTAATTACCTCCTCCTCAAAATATAGATAGAAAATCTGAGCTGTCTTTTTATTATTGAGTTGTAGGAGTTCTTTATATATTCTAGACACAAGTTCCCTGTCATACATATGATAGGTAAAAATTTTCTCCCATTCTTTGGATTATCTTTTTACTTTCTTGATGATATTCTTTGAAGTACAAAAGTTTTAAATTTGTCTAATGTCCAACTAATCAAATCTTCTCTTCTACTGCTTATGATTTTGGTGTCAAACCTTAGAATTCATTGCCCAATCCAAGCAACAAAGATGAACTCCTGTTTTCTTCTGAGTTTTATAGTTTTAGGTCTTACCTGTAGGTCTATAACATTGCATTCATTTTTGTGTGTGGTGTGAGATAGGGGTTCAATTTCATTCCTTTGCATGTGGATATCCAGTTGTCCCAGCACCATTTGTTAAGCACCATTTGTCAAAGATTAACTGACCATTTGTTTTTTCTGGACTCTCAGTTCTGTCCCATTGATCTATATGCTTATCTTTAGGCTGTCTGTACTACTTTTGCAACTTCCATGTGAGCTTAAAAAGTATTTCAAAATAAAAAGTTAATAAATAAATAAGC